ATAATATTGAAATTATATTAACTATTTTAATAATATAATAATAAATATATATTATATTGTAATTATATATATATATTATATTATAGTATAATATAATATAGTCGTATTTTTAATTATCCACAACAATTTAACTCCATAATTCATCAAACACTATTATATTAATTTTAGAATCAGCACAACTACTATAATTATAGTTTACTAAATACTCAGCTGTTTTTTGTAACAACTGCTTCTTCTTTCAACACGGCTTAAAGTAATTTTTTCAAAATCTACAGCACTACCAAATTAAGGCAATAAATACTAAGGCCTTTTTGCTTCGTAGATTCGAGTTTTCAATTCGAGTTGAGATGTGACATTTTTTAAGAGTTTTTAACTGTAGCAAAAAAAAAATTAGACGTGACATTTTCTAAGAGCTTTTAACTGTAGAAATCAAGAACTAAAAACTCAAATCGGTGTTATGAACAAAGCTTAAGGTCTCGTTCATTTCGCCGATTCGAGTTTTTAGTTCTAGGTTTTTACAATTAAAAATTCTCAGAAAATGTCACATCTAACTTTTTTTATTACAGTGAAATTTTTTTAAAAAATGTCACATCTCAATTCGAATCTGTAAAGTGAACGAAGCTTAAAAAGTATTTATTCTATTGTTCTCAAGTTTTTAACGATTCATGAACTTATGCAAGTGTGGACCTTGTTTTTTCACCCTTTTTTTTTTTTTTTTTGTGGACGAATCCTTTTTCCATTTTCTTTTTGTTTCAAATGCAAAGCTTGTTTATGACTTAGTGGTTACTACTATGTGGACTAGTTTTTTCTTTAGAGTCAAAGCATATACCTTTTCACGATGGAGTTCAGATGAGATTGGTTTTCTTTATCAATGATCCATTCCAAAGAAAATTCTCTCTTTTGTAGACCAACGTGGACAAACTAGAGGATAGAGATTATAAATGGTGGTGATGCGTAGACGGGGGGTTTCTTCTTGGATGCCGCAATAAAAATGAGACGGGAAATGCCTCTGGGACTGTGGGATATGCCACGTCATCAGATGGTAAATTCGAGGATTAAACTTGGGGGACCAAGTGCAGCCACTCTGTATAGTTCAGAGGTCAGAGCCAAGATGCTTCTTCCAAAGCAGCATCACCTGCCGTCCTATGTCGGCCCCGTTATTAGTGACGAATTTGCATGTGATCGATGGGATGGAAATAATTCCACCTTGTAATTTTATGCTTTCCTTATCCAAATGCTTTCCTCTCTCGTACCATACTATGATTAATTGATCATTACATTGTAATCAATAAAAAAAAATATAACAACTAAGATCATCTTCGATAATTATCTAAATTTTAACTAAAAAGTTATAAAATTAGCCGTGTTTAAAATTGATTTTATTTTTATTTTTTACGTTTTTTGAGAAAAAAATAAAAACGTTTTTAAAACAGCGTTTGGCGCAATAAAGATAGAAAAATATAAATGAAAACGATTTTTTGATTTAGTGTAAAATGAGAGAGAAATGACAAATGACTTTTAGTCGTTTTCATTTTTTATTTTCATTTTCTCATCTCTCAAGCAGAGAGACATTAATGAGTTTTTTATACTGAAAACAATCTCTTAATAAAACTATCAAATGCATTTTTAAAAATAATTTCTGTCTGAAATTGAAAACGTTTTCATTTTCATTTTTATACAAAAAAAATCATTTTAGAACGAGTTCTAAACGCGCCTGTTATTTTAACTAATAATTTTTAAATGATTTATTCTGATTATACTCTCATTTTAACTAAACATGAATTATTTTAATACTTATTGAATTTAAAATGTAAATAAGTTTATTGAATTTTAAAAAAAAAACTTCGTATTTATTGTGACTTGAAAGAATAAATTAATAGGAAAAAAAAAAACAAATGGCTAACCCCTTCTAACTAGCTATATTTAGCTAGTGTAAAATGTATTTTTTTGAAATAACTAACTATTTAGCTAATAGTTAGAGTGGAGAAAAGCTAAAAAAAGTTAAGTTATTAGTCACGTTAACAAAAAATATGATAGTGTAAAATGTATTTTTTGAAATAGCTAACTATTTAGCTAATAGTTAGAGTGGAGAAAAGCTAAAAAAAGTTAAGTTATTAGTCACGTTAACTAAAAATATGAAATGACTAGTATGGTTTGAAATGCTATAACAAAATATAATAAATTATTAGTCATCAGGACTCCAATGGTCCTAATGGAGGCTTTTACTAACAATTTATCTTTGAAAGAGACACTGGACTATTTATATTTTTAGGAATTCACATGGAATGAAGATGCTTTGAAGTAGATATCCAACGGATTTCTGACAACTCTGATGATATATATACGAATTTTGCAGATTGCTCGCGCAAAGTATCTCGTTGCACTGCATAGCCCACGTGACCTACGAGACTAATTTTGATACTTGAATTTGTATCATGCCCATTTAAGAGTCCAGGCACAACAATCTTGTCACATGACATAATTGGACTCGTTTCGCGTACCCAAACCACACTCAGGAAACTCTCGTGGTTCGTGGTTTCGTGGGCCACAAGTAATCAAATAAGCCCATTCGTCCTTAATTTGATATAATTTGAAACCCACTTGGTTTTCATAATTAATCAAATTAAGCATGAATTGGTGATGGAGAATTCAATAAAAAAAATAATTTTCTTGCCTCTTGAAAGCCCAAAAGTCTTTATCCTAGCCTTTAAAAGGCCCATAAAATCAGGTCCTGTGACTTAGAAATTTTCTCCAACCCAAAAACCTGAGAAAATCGTTGTTTTTGACCTATTCAAAGGCTTTTCCTGCTAGCAGGCATGCCTAACGGAGCCCTCTCCATATCAAACGTGTCTTTTCCATCTTTTCTCCTTATCAGGTTGCTCGTTCAGAGCACTTGCACGCACGTTAGTGTTGGTTGCCGAATCGAATCCGGCTGCGGAAGCGCGGTGGTGCGGGGAAGAGGCGGATCGTGTATAACAAAAATTTTCATAAAACTTTTGAGATACTCTATAGATTATATTAATTTATGCACGAATAAATTAATCTCATTAACTTATATATATCAAGAACTCAATCAGGAAAAATACCTGGAAGCCGACTCGGATGATAACTTGAGTTCTTTGACCACGAACAGTCCTTGCTCCAATCTTTGTGTTTAGAAAACCAATGTCTTCCACATCAATTTCTAGAATCCACGAAGACGTGTGTGTGGGCACACATGAGACAAAACGGGTTACAATAAACACTCGAATTTCCACAAACACCATCACATGCACGATGTGAAATTTTTGGAGAAAAATTTTTCCTTCCTTTCTCTCTTGAAAATTTCGGCCAGCCTTAACCCTTAGGGCTGAAAAATTGTTTCCAAAATTTCTATAGAGAAATTTCGGCTACCTCTAAAATTAGGGCAAAAAACCATTACGAAAATTGTCTCAAAAATAATATTTATAGAGTAGAAGTCAAACTTCTAGAAGGAATCCAATCTCTATCTCTA